TTATATAAAATCCACCTTAACTTCAAATTAAATATGTTTTGTGCACACAAAATCTGTGTTAAGGCTAAAACTTACATCAAGACTATATAATTGAGGGTTATTAACATAGAAACTTCTGGAAATGTGCATACAATTCTGAAAAATGGAAAGAATCACATAAGAAATGCCATTTATATTTGTTATAAATGATGAAAATTTCAAAAATTACAAATTTGATAATGAATAAACAAAATGGTATAAATAATAGCCAGGATTTGGATTATAGAAGCATCTCTCTGATATCCCTCCAGTTCATCTATAACACACACAAAGCACCATAGGACAGAAAAATAATTCCCTTTGTGAATGTCTGAGTGGTAACTTGGAAGAAATGATGAATGGTTTGAGATTCTGCATATTGAAGAATAATCCATAGCAGCAGGAATCCGCCTCAATGTCTAAGCCAGAAGGAGTAGCTTCCTGGGTGGCTCTTATGAGGAACTGGCAATTCAGCCAATGCTTTATCCTTGAAAGAACATGTCTATGGTAGACTAAGTGGTATTCAGTATCATGGTTTCCAGTACCATGGTTTCACATTTTCTCTAATAATTTTTCAGATACATGGTACTACAAACTCAAATGTTCTGCCCATAATTGGCACATCAAATATATGGACCAGATCATTGTAAATCTGCTCACTACAAAGTGTAGGTTAGTCATGCTAAAGAATATAAATCTTATCCAGTTTCCTTACAGGTTACATTGAAATATTATCAAGCTAATGTAGAATATAATTGGTAATACTTGGAGTAAACCTTTTCTTCTGTGCTCATTAATGTGGTTCTCTTGTAATGCGTAGCATTACATTAGTGATCCTTTGGATTAGAATTTCATAGTTTTCCTTGAAGAAGAATATTATTAAGGTTACTGCATATGTGTGTTATGTTATACTTTGATACACACACCATAGATATGACTAATGCACTCACACATGGTAAATATATAGACTGTCAACATATTATGTCTAAAAAAACTAAGACTACATAGCTGGTGAAATCTTCAACTTGCATTCTAAAGCAATCCCTTGTTTAACAATTAAGGATTTGTAGCATTTGGAGAACCTAGCAATAAGGAAAAAGTTATCAAATTGTATATGCTGAAACTAGGTGGTTATCACTGAAGACATTTAGTTGTGCTTCTTTTTTCAATATTAAGTAGGTACTGTCGCTGAAATTCTTTTGTTGTTTGACATATGTCTCCTGGACAAGGATACCAATGGGATAAATGAGGAAGTGTAAAGCAGAGTTGTAAGTTCTTGTGTGGCCAAAGGGACTGAGGATCAGGAACTAAATCAGAGGGTAGTTCTTGGGAAATATTCGTCAATGGCATCAGCACCTTGCAAGTGTGTGGAAGAAAGTAGTAATGTCTTACAGCCAATACTGCTGCCATTACTTCAGCATGTTGTGCTGATTTGTTGGTTCCTTCCTCAGTTATACATTCCATCCCCTGGTCTATAAGCTGCTGCTTTCCATTTAGATTTGTTTCTTTCAGTATTTGATGAGCCATCAATAACCATGCATTAGGTAAATGTTGTGACCATTCGATTGGTCCACACAGTTCAATAGGTGTATCCTTTGGGAGAGGGTTGAGCAGTTTAGCAATGAGGGTTATAGGCATCTGAGGTATATATCCTCAGTACAGGAAGGCACAGACCCCTTTTCTACCACTTCCTGGTAACAAAGGAATTCAGAGAGGTACCATTTTCCACGCAATACTTTTCCTTCCATGGTTAAGCCTGTGAAGGACTCTGCCTACCAGCACACCCAACCCATTATTAGAATGGTTGCCCACATGACCATAGGGGAGCTGGCAATGACTGAGTACAGGGTTCTGCATGCCTCATGATATGTCCATATTTGTTTTGTGCAGACAGAGTATTTATTCTCCATTTATGAGAAGTGTTTGCAATAGAAGCCAACTATTGTTGGTGGACTCCCTTTTGAATTCTGAAGAGTCCCCAGATGCCATATTCACCAATAAATGTGTTATCTATAGTTAAGGTATCATATTGGTTCAACATTGGTCAGGGTCGAATGCTCAGAAATGGGCTTACATTCTGACTCAAAAACTTCTCTTTGTTCCTGTCCCTATTAGAAATCAGATGTCTTTCTAATATACATATAGAAGCATTTCATAATAAGCTGTATATATGGTATGAAGTTCCTCCAGTATAAAAGCATACTGATTAAGTGTTGCATCTAAATTTTACTCCTGGGAGGGAGACATTTAAAACCTTGAGCAATAAGCCATATAGCACCTTGGTTGCTTCAGATGTCCATAACACACCTAGAAACTTGGTTGAGGTATCTGGCCCTTTCAACTTGTATTTATTAATAGTCCAGCTATCATGAACCAAGATATCAGTTACTGTCTTCATATAGTTTTTAACAGGGTCTTATTGTATACTGCAATCAATATCTTCTGCATAGCTTAAAATGAGTCAATCTGATTTCGGCAGCTTTTCCAGCAACCATCTTAGTGTCACATGGGCAGTGATCAGGCTGTTCTTATAGCCTTGAGGCACTTTTTTGAATCTGTATTGTTTATTATTCTAGGTAAAAGTAGAAATGGCTATAGAGTCTACATGTAGTGGTGTGCCAAAGTTTATGATGCCAAAGAATTTTGGGTTGTAATTCCTAATCTTTAAGAATATATTTGCTGTGTTATGTAAATTTGCTGGTATTTGTGTAAAAAGCTTATTAATGTTTCTATAATCTACCATAAATCTCTATTGACCTTTTGGCTTCTTTACTGGCCAACCAGGACTACGGAAGGAAGGTTTAGGTTCAATAATATCTTCCTTCAATAATTTATTTATAGTGTGTCATTCATGGTTTCATCACCTTCCTTGATAGGGTATTTCTTGGTAAATGATCCCTTAATTTTAGAGAGTTCTATAGGATGAATTTGTATTTAGATTATGTTATAGCCCAAGGGATTAAATTTTTAATATAATGCCCTTGGGGAAAATTTGGTTATGACATCCAACCCTAGGACACAATTACATGCTGGTATAAACATTATAGGAATATTTAGAAATAAATTATGTAATAATAATTCTGTATTTTCTATTCCTGTTTTAAATGGTTTCCCAGCTACTCCTTCAATAATTACATAATTTGGGGGGTCTTGTAGGGGTAGGGAGAGGTTACAAATGGTCACCTCACTTGTTGTATCTACCAGTCAATTTATCTGTTGGACCATTCATCTAACCTTTGCTGGGATCTTTATGAAAGGTCTGAAGTCCTTTGTTGACTCCGAGTTATAGATCCCATATATTTTTTTAGTCTGCCTAGGAATCTCTTTCTGAATCCTTCTCTTTTGGGATGTCTTATTGGTATATGTATCTGAGCTTGACTTCCAAAATGTCTTATATCCTTGATTTTCTGAAAGCCTGGATAGTTGGTTCTGGAATGTGGTCTTGTCCTGCCTTTGCCTAAAAAGGCCACCTTTTAAGTGGTGCTAGTTCAATGGATTCTGTACATTAGACTGGAGGGAAACTATTTTATCTGTCTACAATTCTCTAGACTCCTTGAAGTTAATAGCTTTTTTCAGTTATCCATAGTTCATATTAATATCATTCTCCAATGTGGATAGCTTTAATTAGCCTTGTCATTAAAGTGCAGGGAAGGCAAGAATAAGACCTTGACTTCTAACTCCCCCTCCTGTAACAAACACCTAAGGTGGCATAGGCTTGAAAGATCACCACTGACAAGGGAGCGATATGCTGCTTCCTGAGTCTCACGGTCCAGCCTGAATACCTGAGACCTTAATACAGATGAGAGGCCACATCTCAACACACACACACACACACACACACACACACACACACACAATGGTGACTGTGTCTGAGGGACAAACACTAAGTTTCTCCTGGTGCTTTAACATACACACATGGGGAATGGTTGTATATATACCCACAGACACAACTGCAGACAGGTGTTTCTTGGGGGAGAGGAAACACACACATGCAGCACACAGAGAAGAAAGGGGCTAAGGAACATGAAATTCTCTTCTCAGGCTGAGGTGTTTAAGCTTCTGAAGAGTCTTCCTCCATTCACTTGTGTTTGAACAATTTGAAGAAAGACAGGATAATTTATAGTACTGTAATTCTTGGGTAATATGTCCTATTCTGGCTCTCAAGGAACTTGTTGAGCCAGACCATCTGTAAGGGGTATGCTGGGAGGAGAAAAGGGCCTAGAAGGTCTTTGTTTGAATCTTTCAGAGTCTGTTTCAGGTTAGGATAGTAAGGACCAAGCTGGCAGTCTTGGAAGTTCACCATCTTTATTATCTAGTCATGGCCCCTCTCCTTATCTGCCTCCCCAGGGAACTAACTTCTAGTATCTCAATTTCATGAACTACCAAATCCTTATCTTGAGTACTTCCTAGATTCATTCAAGCCTAAACCACCACATACCTCATTTGAAAAAAACTTCAAAAAATACATGAATTTTGATAATTTGAGGTCTCCATTGTGATATACATATATCACTATGATAGAAGATGAATATTCCATGTTCTAATATGTGGAATAAGTTATGTAAGTGACTACATGGTGATAGAGGAAAGGCCTAGATGGAGAGGGAGAATAGACAAACAGGTGGGTGTGATTGATATAGGCAAAATACAATAATATATACATGTAAATATGTCATAAAGAAATTTAGCATTTTGTATGATTATTAAAATCCTCAGTAAAATATTTATGATGGCATTCATAACAACACCCTGAACACAGTGGTCCAGAGCTGGGAATAAATGAGCTGCAAAAGCCCACTGTACTCTCACTGCCTGCAACTGTCACTGTTGACCTGCACAGACCCACTGCTATCTCAGGGATTGGATCTTGTCATTCCCTTTCCTTAGATTTGTGTGTGTGGAAATGGCTTCTTTTTCTTAGCTAAGTATTAGTTTGATCTTATAATTCTTCCATAATCATGTCTATAAATCTGTTCCTACAGGTCAGATTTCCTCCAGAGTAAGGATGGATGAAGAAAGAGATGTTTAAACTTACCCATGTCCAGCAGAACATACTAGATTGACTCAGAAACGTATGAATTCAGATCTACCTGCCTCTCGAGTGCTGGGATTAAAGGCATGGGCCTCCATCACCCAACTCTTAGATAATTTTTAATAGCTGGATGTAATGGCACCAGCCTGTAGTCCTAGCTACCAACTGGGGAAACTGAAGTGAAGGAGGCTGTCTTTTGCCCAGAAATTCAAACACCTTGTTATAATTATAATATTTATATTTTATTAAAAGGTCTAAATTTGAATGCTGGGAATAAAAGATAAAAACATAAAAATAAAAAATGAAACGTGAATAGAAATACTTCAATGTGCAGACATGTCCAAGAATAGAATACCATTTTTAAAAAAAGAGTTTCTGATGAGTTGTTGAGTTCAACATTTCCATAGTCCATTCACACTGAGAAGCTTCCAGTTCTAATATATCTCTAGAATTCCCTTTTCTCCTGATGTTCAGCAATAACAAGACTGTGTCTACCTCAAGAGTCTTGAGAAAAGTCTCTACAATGTGATGAGGCAGTGTTACCTCCTAATTTGCACAGGGACTTCTGACTTCAAGTTCCCACTCAAGACAGTCTGGAACTACAACCACCACTTACTGACAATGGGGATCAGCTATTCATGTCAGGGCTTCAGTGAGGCTGGAGAATGTCAAAGGATTAGGAACTTATCCAAATGAAGATCTTTCCCACAAGAGCACTTAATGGTTATCATAGTGATGACAGCCCAAGAAGTTAGGAAACCAACTCTTGGGATGGCCTAGACTTGTCCAGCCTCCTTCCTCACATTGATTTCTGCACAGGAGATTGATTAAGGGCCTGTATTAAATATCATCAGATCTGCCCTTGTGCTGGCTTCAGATATGTCTGAGATCTAAGCACGAGTCAGTGTGGGAATCATCTTTCTCTTTCATTTCATGTGACCACACCTGGTCTTGACTGGCCTCATGGCTCCTTCTTTAGTACTCCAGTATTTAGGATGCTGAAACAGAACACCCTCAGATGTTAAGCTTACAAACAAAAGGTATTTAATTGTGTCGTTATAGGGAGACACACACTGGCTCACAAATGTGTCTTCTCACTGTTAACTCATGAAACAAAAGCTGCAGCTACAATGAGATTTCTGTAAGTATACCTATCTAATTATTGATGATTATGCCATGTAAATGACTCTGATTTTAGAGACAGTCTCCACCGTGTTGTATTTCAACATATGTGTTTTGGAGGAGAGAGATATTAAGACAACGATTCTATTGAACTTCCTTTTCCTTAATACTTCAAAGGATAGAACACTGATTCTAGTCTTAGTCCTCCATCTCTGCTGATTTATTATTTCTCTCCATCATTTCTGTTTACAGACTCATCACTATATTTAAAATAATACAGAGTATTCCTAGGGATCATGTACTCAGAGCATTGATTCCAAATCTACCCAGTGACTATTGTCCAGCTTTCTATTGTCACTGGCCTTCTAAGAGTACAGAAGACTCTTAAACTCACTGAGTGCATTGTGAAATCATCCTCATAAAGCCTGCCACTTAGTGGATAAATTTTCCTTTTCCTCTTCCCCTTCTTTTTCCTTCTTGAATTGCAGGTGATGTGTAGAAAGGATAATCACCAGTAAAATGTGAATTTTTATTACATAGCATAATTGTACACTGTTGAAATAAAAGATAATGAAAAAGTTCAATCAGAAATTTGATTCCATGTTTTCACCAAATAATAAATATAAAAAAATCAAACTAAGAAAACTCTCAAACCTACACTAGAACTGAAAACAAATGACTGTTAAGGGGAGGGGGACACTTCATCCAGTGTGTTTGGCTTCAAAGTGACACTGCCCCTCTGCAAATCAGCAATGAAAGTTTCTCAGAAAGCCTTAAATTAGATATTCTATACAGTTAAGCTATGAAGAAAAGTCTTGATACTTAACTACAGGTGTACATGTTCACCCATGTCTCTAATCATTCTATACACAATAGCTAAGTAAGGCAAGCAGCCTAGTTATCCTTCATCTGGTTAATGGATGATGAAAATATTGTTTAACCTTACAATAACTTTCATCTCCTAAGGACAATTACATCTGCAAACAAAGTGATAGAAATGAAAGAGATTATCCTTAGTGAGGACATCCAGGTCCAGAAAGACAAATGTCCTCTATTTCCTCTTATTTGCAGATCCTAGAATCAAAACTTCTTGGTCTGAATGTGTACCTTGAGTATCCAGGAAGCCTGGAAAGTAGAAAGGGAGGATTGTGGAAGAAGGAGATGTAGCTTCAGAGGAGGAAATAGCAGGACACAGGTGCTATGAAGGGAACAATAAAAGGGGGTGTGCTTGACTAGGAAAGATGATGTTACTATTGAGAGAGAAGGAAGGGAGGGAAGACTACATAGAGGGAAGGAATAGGGAGAACAATGCATAGGGAGAGGGAAAGGGACATAAGTACTAGTGAGGAATTTTGAGCAGGAAGAACAAACCCATTTTATATACTCATATAAAAATACATAGAAACACATGGTTTTAGAGCAGTTACTCCACATAGTGGGATATTCCACACCTTGGACCTGTATATTAATTAAAACCACCCAGTGGCAGCTAAGAAAAAATCTCTTCTCTGTCTCAGGGAGAAAAAAAAGATCTAAATATAGATGTATGAGAAAAAGTAGCAATAAAAGTGACTGGTATATTTTAGCAAAAAATAGTGTGTACATGGGGGGGGGGCTAGGTCCTGCCCCAAATGATGAGACAGACTTTGATGGTCCCCCATGGGAGGCCTCACTCTCTCTGAGGAGTTGATGTGGGGGATGGAATGGGATGACGGGAAGAAGAAGGAACTGGGATTAGAATGTAAAATAAGATTTGTTTTTCAGTTTAGGTAGAAATTAATTTCAAAAATAATGTGTAGAATGGTACACATGGCATATTTCTTTTGTAGCCAGAAATTCTTGCCAAATCCCTAGCCTAAGAACATTGCCTGGGCACATTTTGTTTGTAATAACAAAAATTAGTAGTTTCCAGCCTGTATTCATTTGAGCATTGTTCTATACACAGTTGAAATAAATTTAATCCTTTTCACACAAAAAAAGAAAAACATCCACTTGGGTTATCTTTTTCATGAGACCTCCACAACAATAGAAGTGATAGATTCCTCTAATGACTGATTTCTTCAGCACTCAGTAGTTAGCAAGGTTTCCCCTACAATGTGTTGTATCCCTTTGTTGTGTGGGTCTTAAATCCAATTAGGCATCGGCTGGTTAACACTAAGGTGTAGTTGTCAATACTGCATCCTTACTCTTATTATACCCTGCTGGTTATTGTCCTGGTTCATGGATATCAAGCTGGTTAAGACTGTAAGTTGTCTCCTCCCTTTGAAGTTTTCATGATACTTTCTGGTGCCATGGAAGTGAGACCTCAGGAAGGAAAGGTACCGGTCAGTCTAAATAACAGGTCTCAGGGATGTGTTTCTGAAGTGCATGCTGTCTTCATCAAAAGGACTTAGCCCTGTAGGTGGTTAGAAAGAACAAATGTATGTTTTAGGAGTGTCTTCAAGCTCACCAACAAACAACTCATGCTTTGCATGTCTGATATCGGTGGGTTTTTTAGGTGGCCTTTGGCTCTGGGCAGAGACCCTTCTGCACTGATGATAAAATTTCATTAATTCTATATGTATATATTTATACACTGACTTACATGTGGTATGATGTTTTAGGTAAATAGTTAACTATTAATAGCACGATTCTTTGAGGGTTATCCAAACATCCTTCTTGTTGTTTTACAACCTCCACCCCTCTCCTGTAGTCACCTTGCTCCTCTCCTCTCACCAAAGCTTCTTTTTCCCACTTCTCCATCAGATCACTTGTATTCTGCTTTTGTCCTTTGCCTGCTCCCCCTGTATTTAGCTCCTTCTCACTCCCAAAGGAGCTGCCCATTCCCACATCTCCTAAACACGGGATCCTCCAGTCCCCCTCACAGTGACATAAAGAGAGTCATCTATAATGGAGCTACCCTAGAATGGGGCCACTCCAGGAAGACATGTTCAATTTCCTTTAGCGTTTCCCTTGCATTGATGGAAACAGTAGTCTTTTGTTTTCATCGTCACCCACTCTGTGATGGCCCAGCTTCCTTCCTCCTGAATCCAAATTTTGTATAGGAAAGGTGAACTACTGAAAGGTAGACTCAGAGACAAGAGGAAAAAAGAACTGCAATGTTACAGGAACTTCAAGAGTAGAGCACCAGCTTCATACCTGGTCCCTGGAATTACAGCAATAATTACCTACACTGTGGTCCCTGACAGTTCCACAGCACCATTTTTGTTGATCCGTATCTGAAATACAGTAGCAGCAGCAGACCTGAAAGAGAGCACAGAGACACCCAACCTCTGCCTCACTCACTGCCCAATCTTCAAAGAGACAGTGGTTTTCATACTGTCTGCCCTCCCAACACTCTTGACTTCGAACCCACAACTCCATCCTGACTCTATAGAGAAGCTTCCCGGGACACAGGTACTTTACACAGGTAGATGGAGGAAGTCCTGAGTACTGATCCCAGGAGTTTGTTCGGCTTCCTGAACAGTGGAGAGCACTTTCTAATGCAGGTTCAGCCCTACTACTCCATCTCATTTCTCCCATGTAGTCCTCGTGGCGATTTAGAGGTCTCACAGGAAAACAGCACGTGGCAGAGTTATGGAAGATAGGCCATTGTTCATCATCATCCTCAGAGGGGTCTGCTTCGGTTCTTCCGTCTCTGGGAAATGAAATCTTGCTTCAACTGTCCCAAGATGAATCCAAGCTAGAGGCCTATGACCTGAGGGAAACTGGTCCATGATGACAGATCAGGAGTTTGGGGATGGAAATGAGGATTTTGGTGAAAGGACAGAGGAATGAATGTCATAGAAAAAAACGGGACTCCTGTGGTTCATAAATGGCAGGAATCAGCTGCTAGACTTTGGGTGAGTGAATAGGGAAAGGTGTCCATCCTGCTCTTATCCATGTAGACCCTCATATGAGAGATAATGATGGAACTATGATCACATGCTGTGCCCAGATGCCATCCTAGAGTTCTCCGTGGTACCACAGTTGCCTACTATTCATATGTAGCACTCATCTTCTAAGGTAAACATCTTAAAACTACCCGTACATTTGAAATAAAATTGACATGACTTTGATTCATTCATTACTGACACTGTGCTTAGTGTCTTCACACAGAAAATTTTCCTACAGGTCATCTTGCTCTATGGTGCTAATGGAGAATTTCAGTTCTGTGAAATACTGTCTATGTTGTTATGAATTTTCAACAAAAACCTGTCATTTTTGACACATCTGAATGTCAAAGCCTTTCATTTCAACTGTTTTAAGAGTGTGTAAGAAATGACTAGATATTTGTGTGTTGATGGGCTCATGGTGGTTCTCTTACACCTTTAAAATAAACAGAATAATTCCACACTGCTTTGTATTTTAAAGATTTTACCCTTTCTCTTGTTTACATTTTTTTTCTTGTTTACATTTTTGACAGAACATTTATATGCTGGTTTTAGTCTTTTTCAAACCCATTCCCCTCTCTCAACCCCCTCCTTTCCCCATTGGCATCCTCCTGCTTCCATTAGTGGAAAGTTATTCGGTGGAGTAAGGGCAACTTGTCCATAGGTACACCACTGAAGAAAGTAATACTCCTCCCTCAACAAGTGTGATTTGTCAATAGTCCCTTTGGGAGGGGTGGAGCTTCATAGGCTACTCCTTTATCCATGATGGAATGTTGGCTTGTACAGTAAAAGATTGCTCAGGGAGCTCATGAGGACAAAATCCGTGACATGTCCAGAAGACGCCTTTTTTTACACATTTCTTACAGCTTTTCTGCTTCCTATTCCACAATACTTCCTGAGACTTGCAGGGGGTATGTGGTTATGACTGTCCCAACTGTCCCAGTTGGTGCTGATCACTCCACTATTACTTATTCTCAACACTTGGACAGTTGTGGATTTGTGAAATAACCACATAAGAGGTTTCTCAGATGAAGGATGAGCACAGCACTAACCTATGGATGTAAATATGAGTACTAGAAGGCAGTTTGACAGCATAACTGTTCAGCAAAACAAGAATAGTAGGTCTCCCACCCCAGCCCGGTCCTGTGACCTTCCCAGCTTAAGACTCTAGATGAGATTTACAGTGTCAGGCTTGAGAGCTGACCTCAAATTCTATCAGAATGCAACTGATTTTCCCCTTGTGAGTAATAATTTTACCACTATTGCACTAGAGGATACATTTTATGGTATGTCATCCTTGTAGCTTTCAAGGATCACAGCTGAGTAAGACTGTTGATCACACACACACACACACACACACACACACACACACTGTAGCCTGCATAGCAACTTCTGGGACCACAAAGGCTAGCCAATAAGAATAAAGCTTCCAATTTAATTTGCACACTGAGTGATATCTTTGCAATAGGGTCTTACCATCTAGCTCTGGTGGGCAATCACTAGCAACAGCAATAGTCTGTCCTGTGTAAAGACCCTTCAGGCCTCCCTGAGCAACTACTCATAAGGAGGTGGCCCAGACCTGGCACTGAGATTATAACAATCCATGGCTTCTAGGAAGAGAATTACCCATCTATGGTGGATACCTCTATTCAAATTCTTTTTTCC